CGGAAACACAAAGAAGCCTCAGAAAACGTTGAAGTACATTGAATTCTTCATGCTGAACAGGAGTATAGAGTCATAATAGCTCAATTTTCTTTTCATGAAGTAAGGTTTTAACGGGTTTTCTGGAAAACTGAGGGTGAACACTGGAAAGTGCCGAGGATAGCTGTATGGGCAAAGTTATAGATCCTACTAAGTAGTTCCTATCCTGAAAAATCTCGAAAAATTTTCAGAGTTTAGGAGAAAATTGAGGTCAAAGTTCAGGAATTTTTCAAAGTAAATTGACTACCACTCGAGTGTAAAGTTAGATCGAGACTGAATTCCTTCATTATTAGAATCAACTCGTCAAGAGCTACAATTTGATGTATAATTATGCAATGTTTCGTTCATTTTCACCGACTTCGGTTTCACCCTCATCCAAAACTTGAGGTGTCTAGAAAACCACTTTCCACACGTTTTCTCAAAAAAGCGGAAGCGAGACCTTTAGATTATTTTTGATGCTGTACACGATGGGGAAAGTGGAATTTTCTCCGCAAGATGCTCTGTATAAAGTGGGCGGAGCTGCGTGGAAGGACCCAATTAGCCTGGCTTGTTCAGTTTTTTCTGCTCGTTCGATTTATGTGTAACTCCGATTGTTAAAATAGAGAACAGAACAAGAAAAAATTAAAATATGATATTTGTTGTTATTCCATTTGTCTACGTTACGTTTCTTTAGACAGTCAGGTACAATGCTTTGCAATTCCTAACTATTTGTGATGCTTATTTCAGTTGACTAATAAATATAGATTAAACTGAAAATATGATAAAAGTCTACTTTTTCGATTGTTTTATGGGGCTTTTCGTATAAAATTGGTAGCTCACTCATTTTTAGACTCTAAAGTTTAAAAACTTGGGTTTGTAGGTAACTTTGAACGCTTTATCTACTGAGACCGTAAAAGCCGTTTTGATTTTCGTCCATGTTGCTTTGAGTTACTTTGGATAGTTGGTATCTCGACGAATCCTCCTTAAAAAATATCCGTACAGAAGAAAAAGTAGAGTGCTATGGATACTTTTACAAAAGACTTGCTGAATGTGTCAAATGAAACTATTTTTTGACCTCCTTAAGTTTTTCGAAAAAACCTGAAAAATTTTAGGCACTCACCTAACAAACCTGGGAGGTATTTCAAACTTTTACTCTCACCCCTGCAGCGGTCACTGACACTCCATGGCACCGATGCGCATGCGTGCCGATTGGCACCCGTGTCAGGCAGTGCCGATATATTTATGCCAAAAAAGTGCCACATTAAAACTTATTTAGTCAATTTTTTATTATAGTTTTCATTTTGCATACTTCAAAATCAACAATACTGCGAGAGTACAGAGAATTCAAATCTTTTTCGCGAAAATCCTTTGAGAATGCTATGTTATAAGCCCAGTAGCTGAAAATTTGATAGCTTTCATCTTCCCGGTATAAGACATCTGTCTAATTGCTTTTTTACACATTTTATAAAAAAACATTCAAATCACCTTTGTCTGTGTTTGAGTCTGTCTTCTTCACATTAGCTGCAAAATAGAGACTAATCACAAAATGAGACTTAGAGAGTGCGCGAGACGCGTTCGAAACATAGTCGCACATATATTTCCGATATTTTCTTAATTTCTGGCCTATAACATAGCATTCTCAAAGGATTTTCGAGAAAAAGATTTGAATTCTCTATACTCTCGCAGTATTAGTGATTTTGAAGTGTGCAAGATACAGACATGCTTAGCCCCTCTATTTTAGTTTAACATGTGAGCATGTACAGTCGAGTGCGGCGCATCCAATGGTACAAACCCGACCGTTTAAAATCTTCTTATTCTTCAAATCTAAATCTCCCAACAAGTGCTTAAAATGACTTTTCACAAAGTAAAATCGAGTTAGCGTTCCAAATAATGGCTATGGAGAAGAACGCTTTATGCCGTCGTGATCAGCTCGTCGAGTCCTACAAACTAGGATGTGTCCCATTGAAAAGTGAGAGTGACACTTGGGGACCTTCTCTCGTAAAGCTTAATGTTATTGGTGTGATGACTGTTGCTATGTTGAACCGTAACTTTGATATGGTCAACATTCTCTGAAAGCCTGTTTTAGAGCGAACTTATATTCTCAGAAATAAATTTATGACAGCAAGGAACGTTAAACACACCGTTGTAGTAATAGTTGAAAAAAAGCGTTTAAATTGTGTTTAATTAAGATTTTTCTTGAAATAAAATAGCTTCGGTGAAAAAGCAATCCAGAAATCAACTTTTCGTGTGGAATGCAAGCCAATGCAGATCAAAGTATGCGTTTTCTTTCTCTCTCAAAGTCCATTTAGACTTCTATCGTCCTAAAAGTATGCTCTCTATTCTCCTCTTTCTAAGAATACCATGTAAATCAATTTTCATAGATGAAAAAAGAACTATGCCCTTCAAAAAATCTTTTTTTTACCGGCACTTATTCGGCACGGATGTGCCAAAATTGAGATTTTGCTGGCTATGGAGAAGAACACTTTATGTCATTGTGATCAGCTCGTCGAGCTCTACAAACTAGGATGTGTCCCATTGAAAAGTGAGAGTGGCACTTGGGAACCTTCCCTCGATATGGTAATATTACCTGAAATATTTTAAGACGATTGAAAAGGATTTGGTAAATTGAAAGATGCCGTATGTATTATTCGAGAGACTTTTTCTCTTTCGATTTATCTAATCGGCTTCTATTGACCACTGAAAAAAATTTTTCAGAATTCGGTGGGATGGCGCAGAGTTTCGAAAATTTTTTTTCGGTGGGTAGGCATAAATATTTGTTACACCATCTCTGCAACAGAAAAAGTTTTCTCTAACGTTCGCAGAGGACACTAGTGTTCAAAAACGCTGAAGATCTAATGAATACTGTTATTCTATATCTTAGATACACTAATGTAATTTACAATTATCAAAAACTTCGCAAGTTTAAATTTAAAGATGTCCGCTCTAGTCTGCATGATCGACTGAATTAATCATACAGACCTCTGCAGAACATATGTGCTAAAATATTCAACGCTTAGATTTCTTGTGTTAACTTGAGCTGTGATATTAATATCGTTCAGTTAGTTGTGTCGCAGATTCTTAACATAGAGAGTATAATTATTATAGTATTAATCAATCCAATGGAAAGGACTTCAAATCTACATTTTTCGTCTTGCACAGGTAAAAGTTGTACTATCGTCATGTTTTCTATCATTATCTGGTTATTCAAACAAAAAGATGCACACAGGTTCTTACTTAGAAAAAGAAAATATACACGCTGATGCAAATTGAGTCATATATTTGAACTATCCTCACAAGTTAAGGTCAAACAAAATGAACATTTCATTTATATTTTTAATCGTTCTCGAATTTGTTTTTCATTTTCGACGAACTTTTCAAACAGAATGTATTTATCAAACGAAGGATGGCGCCCTAGACATGCGAACACTTGGAAATATTAAAAAACCAAAATTTGCCGATATACCAGATCAAGATAAGACAAAATTGTTAACATATTCTTATAATGGATGTTTTTCGTATAATGAAGGTTCATGTAAAAAGGCAGCTGCGTGCAAAAGTAAGAAAAAATTTAATGTTTCATCGAAACATTCCATATACAACAGGTTCACACTTAGTACGCGAAAGAAGCCTGGGTACATCGTAGTAAAATCCTAATTTCGAGCACGCCTGATTCCATTAGGATCCTCGTGGACTTTTTCTCTTAGGATCTTAAACAAATCTAAGCAAAATCCTAGTTGGATACTAATATCTAAGATTCTGATAAAATTGCTAGGAACTTATTAGGATCATAGCTGGAAATAAATAATGCGTGGAATTTGTCTAGTGTATATATCTGTCTCGTTTGATTTTAGAGGATTTAGTTTCCAAAACCTCATCAGTGATTGCTATTCAGAAAGATCCAAAATTCGACTATTCTCAAGGAATATCAACGCTTGAATATACGAATGGTAATGATATCCAAGTTCAAGTCTTTTTAGTATGTGAGGAGAAAGACGAGCAAGCGAAAGGAGGAATGATCGATGCAAAAAGTTACGGAATTTACATTCTAAATAAGTGTGCATGCCCTGGTAAATGTAAATATGTCGCGCCCAGAGGATTATCAGGTGGTGCAGTAATCGTCATTATATTTTTATGTTTATTAGTTGTGTATCTAATAGGTGGAATATTGTATATGAGATATATGAGAGGTGCCCGAGGTGTTGAAATGCTTCTTAGATTAGTCGTTTATTACATGGTTCCTTTTTTGCATATAAAATATATTTGATACACCTGCTATCAATGTTTTTCATTCAATTCAGGGTTCATCCATAGTTCGTGCTATATTTGAATGATCTATCCAAATCGATCAGCATGGATTTTGGTGGTACAAAATGCTAAGGCTGGTGTGCAATATACACTTTCCTTAGGAAAAGGAACAAAAACAGTTAAATACGAAAATCTTTGAAAAGCATTCTATAATAGGCTCGTTTATCATCCATATTTAAAATTCGATGAAATAATTAATGACACTCTTCAACTGGAGCAGCATTAAGCAAACTATGTGCGAATTCTTTATTTTAAAATGATTTGTATAAAGAGTCATTTACTATATATTAGATGAAACAGCAGCGTCTTCGCCTGAAAATAAAATAATATAGTGGCTTAATTATTAATAATAAAAGTCTCCTTACGATATCTGAACTCGCTTACGCCGTTCACCTTAAATAAAAAACCTTGTCATAAACGTCTGAGATATGCTTTATTAGGCAGCAAATTTATAGCATGCATTACTTGCAATTACTACCCTAATGAATGTTCTGAATTCAACCCTAGTGGAACTTCTTGTACCTAGCCATGCATTGGTTATAACCGATAAATTTGGCCTTTTTTCTGAAACGGATTACATGAAAAGTACGCATATTAAAATTTTTCCAACAACTGAGTTCTGTAGAGCAAACATTTTTCTATAAGATGAATGATAGCAGAAGCACTCATCTTTTCTATTTCTGCCGCACTCGCTTTTCGACGGAGAGCTCTAAGTCGTTTACATTTTGTTTTGTGTATAACAGTCATGGTCTTTAGACATACGACCGTATGTGAGCGTAAGCTCTTCCTTAAACAGTCATTCCATAGTTATTCTGTGTATAAATATTTAGAGTATAAACCACAAGGGTGACTCAAGTATTATCAAGATCGTGTTTTTTGAAGTTCTACGTTTTCTTGTGTTGGTCTCACCGAGAAAATCTATTAAGCCAAGGACTTTGGTTACAACTTTGGTTCTAGTTGTACTAACGAAGGAACCTCTATCTAGTGAGGTATAGGTTATCGACCATGCTGATTCAGAATATGACCATGTGGGTGGCCCTTAGCCATTTAAAGATTCGGTTTTCTAGAAAACCAGTTTTGCAGAAACTCTAAAATATAACCGGAACCTTTCTTAGTGAGGCATGATTGCAGCTCGCAAATTTCTGATTAAAATGAGACATCCACCAGCTTTACAGGACCTTTCTTTGCAAAGTTACAGAACAAGAAAAGCCCTAAGTGTTCATTGTGAATGCTTTACTTTGAATTCATGTCAAAATTCATAACCCAGTCAAGGTCAATCTGAGTTATGTCAGAATATCAGGATGTACTCTACTTTACCTGCTTAATACTATGCAGTTCAATAGAAGCTTTAAAAGTCGACAGAAAATACTCTAGTTTTTGAAAGAGTTTTCTAGAAATCTTCCGAAGTACAAGAATGTTTTTTACTATTCTGAAGTAAAAAGTCGTTTGCAGCAGGTAAAATAGATTACATCTTGATATTTCGACATAACTTGGATTAATCTTGACCGAGTTGTGTTCTGAAAACAAATGTTGCCACGAGATTCAGCATAGTCGGTAATCTATGTTTTCGTTCACTTCTGATAGTCCCAAATCTAACGGTACAGGAATCCTAAGGCTTCAAGAAAAACGCCTGTAGCTCATGAACCATGGATTTTCGAGATGTCGTTAGGGTCTGGTTTTGTATAGGATACCTTGGACTATCCATATGTGGGAAATATATAATATCCACTTAGAGATCCTCCAGAGATCCACGCAAAAAATTTTGACTTCTTCATATTATTACGTGCCCCGATCTTGGCTACACGATTGGGAAAACGCGATCTCGAGTTATTCATGTCGTAATCACCCATACTATATTTTGAAATGGATAGTAGTAGAAGTCTAAATTTTCTAGAGTCTCTACGATCATGGATCATAGTCGACTACCTATAGTCTATGACTTTTAGCTCCTAAAAGCATTTATATCAAATGTTATTTGAGTATTAATCTGCATTTTCTCTAACAGAACTTTTTTCAATAGTTCCTGTAGCTAAGACTAGCGCATATCTACCTATAACTCTCTGAAATTTTTTGTGAACGACTA